AAAAGGCCTTTGAAGTATACTGAAAAAGTATATATATATTAAAAATTTTTAATTATTTTGAAAAATCTAATATTAAAAAATTTTAGGTAAGAAAAAAACTAAAAGAAAGTAAGTAATTTTAAATATTTTTATAATATTAATTAAGATAATCTATGTATTTAGAATAATCAAATATATTTGAAAAATTTTAGAAGAACTTGAAGAAAGTGGCAAAAATTTAAAAGAACCTGAAGAAAGTAGTAGAACTTTTGAAAGAAATCAAGATGTCCCAGAAGTAACTAAGATAAGTTTTAATGAGCAAGAACTAGAAGATAATGAAAAGACTTCCAATGAAAATCAAGATGATTCAGAAAAAGAAAAATATACCTCTGAAGAAGATATCTTTGAAGAAGATACTTCCAAAGAAGATCAGAAATAACTGTAAACCTTTTAATTTTTTTTGTTTTTTTATTATATTTGAATAATATTACTTTTTTTTCTTTTATTTTATAAATCAATAAATTTGCTTTTCTTTGTTAAATAAATATATATTTTAAATAAAGTTAAATATATTTTATTGTATTAAATATATACTATAAATTTTAAAAATATTTAGAATTATTTACATTTATTAAAAAATTTAGAAAAAATAAATTAGATCAAATTTTATAATCTATTATAAATGTTTTTAATAAATTTTAAAAAATATTTTAAAATTATTTAAAAATTTCAAAATTATTCGATTTATTTTATATTATATATTAATTTTACACGATTTTGAATATTTTGCAAAATAGGGGTGTGGCGACTTAGTGAAGTGGTGGAGTTGTCACACCCCCAAATGGCAGGTCTAAAGTTCAAATCCCACAGATGACGATTTTAAAAAAACTAGTTTCTGTATTGGTTAACTTTAAGATTATCAGTTAGATCCAGATATCTGTAATCTTGATTACACCATCTTAAATAGGAGCTTTGGCGCAATAAATCCAGGAAACCGGAATTACCGAAAACCCATTTGGCAAGTCCCAAGTTGGGAGTAGCAGTGATTTTTGACGGTACTACAGGAAGACTGAATTTGGAACCAAAACTAAGACTGGAGAACCAAGCGATCAGGTCCTTAAGTGGGGGACACACTAGCTGAACTGCCAGCTTGTTACCAGAGGAAAAGGACTTGTGCTCCAGAAGCATGTACCAAGGGGAGGGAGACCATAAGACACCTAGAGCCTGGGCAGACCAA